TGTGTGACAGATATACTGTTGCATTGACATTTGGAAAATATAATCTGCCACTGGTAGGGATGACATAATTTAGCAAATTAGCTAGGGGCAGTGAGGGAGAATGATACACCGATGTCTCTGGGTTGGGTGACCCATGGTGCCATTAGTAGAACTAGTGGAAAACAGAAGGAAGAATATGTTAGGGGAGATTATTGACTCTGAGAAGCCCATAGTAGTCAGAAGGCTGGAGCCTAGAAGAGGCATAAGGGAGTCTCATACAGAAAAGTCACAGCTAAAACTGAGACTAGAAGAAATGGCCAAGGATGAGAAAGAAAATCATAACAGATTTTTAGAAAACAAAAATTTCTTTTTTGAGAGTGAGTCTCCTCTGTTACCTAGGTTAGAGTGCAATGGCACGATCTCAGCTCACTGCAACCTCCGCCTCCTAGATTCAAGCAATTCTTGTGCCTCAGCTTCCTGAGTAGCTAGGATTACAGGCACCTGCCACCATGCCTAAGTTTTGTATTTTTAGCAGAGATGTGGTTTTGCCATTTTGGCCAGGTTGGTCTCGAACTCCTGACCTCAGGTGATCCGCCCACCTTGGCCTCCTAAAGTGCTGGGATTACAGGCATGAGCCACTGTACCTAGCCTATTTTCTGTTTTTTAAATGGCATTATTTTTCCGTACCAGTATTTACTTTTATGTAGCCAAATATATTAATACTTTTCTCCAAGGTCACAAAAGTATTTTTTCCCCTATATATATATATATATATATATATATTTTAGACAGATTCTTGCTCTGTTGCCCAGGCTGGAGTGTAATGGCGCAATCTTGGTTCTTCACTGCAACCTCTGCCTCCTGAGTTCAAGTGATTCTCCTGCCTCAGCCTCCTGAGTAGCTGGAATTACAGGCGCCTGCCACCACATCCAGCTAATTTTTGTATTTTTTAGTAGAGATGGGGTTTCGCCAGGTTGGCCAGGCTGGTCTCAAACTCCTGACATCAGGTGATCCACCCACCTTGGCCTCCCAAAGTGCTTGGACTACAGGCGTGAGTCACTGCGCCTGGCCCCCCAATATTTTTATTGTTATTTTTATATGTTTAATGTTTAGGGGTCAGACTTCATTTTTGTCAAATGGGCAGCCAATTGATCCAGCACCATTAACTGAATGATACATGCCTTCCCACTGATTGAAATGTCACTTCTATCATAAGTTCCTAGAGATATACAGTTCTGTTGCTGGCCTTTTTTCTTTTTTTGGAAACAGGGTCTCTGTCACCCAGGCTGCAGTGCAGTGATACAATCACGGCTCACTTTAACTTCGGCCTCCCAGGTTCAAGTGACCCCCCACTTCAGCCTCCCAAGTAGCTGGGATTACAGGTGCATGGCACCACGCCCTGCACTCGCCTTTCTTCAGCGCTGGGCCACAGAAATGCACGTGCATGTGAGTGGCTGAGGGTGGCCACGTGGAGAGTGCCACATGCACTGCGTCTCCTCATTTGCTGCCATGCAGAAATTGTGGGCCCACTGTGGCCACATATGCCGAATTCTCAAGAGGTGCTAGACATCCAGATTTTTATATGAACTCTCCAGTGTTTAAAGAGTTGGCAATTAATAAAAAAAAAAAATTTAACAGGCTGGGCACCATGGCTCATGCCTGTAATCTCAGCACTTTGGGAGGCCAAGGTGGGTGGATCACCTGAGGTCAGGAGTTCGAGACCCGCCTGACCAAAACGATGAAACCCCGTCTCTACTAAAAATACACAAATTAGCCGGGCGTGGTGGCGGGTGCCTGTAATCCCAGCTACTCGGGAGGCTGAGGCAGCAGAATCACTTGAACCCGGGAGATGGAGGTTGTAGTGAGCTGAGATGGCACCACTGCACTCCAGCCTGGGCGACAAGAGTGAAACTCTGTTTGAAAAAAAACTAAAAACATTATGTGGACAAAATATATTTGCAAGCTGAGACTAGCTTGTGGCACACCAGTTGGTGACCTCTATTCCAGATGCTGAAATAATGCAGAGGCTGAAATAAAGACTGGGTCCAGGAATCCACCTCTCACTCTTTCCCACTGCCAACATTAAGATGCAAAGAGGAAGAATGATGCGGCAGCTCCTGGAAACCTTGGTTATTTGCAGGCATCTCTGGGAAAGCAAGCAGTGTTATGGCTCATGTGTCACCTTTTACCCACGAGTTGATGAAGGTTCCCGGTATGCCAAGTAACTAGGAGGGAGGAGGTCAGCACTGGGGAGGGGAAGGTAACATCCTCAGTCAAAGTTGGGCCTCCCAGACCTGTTGGGCTGAGTTACAAAGAAAGACAATGGGTTGGAAGGGGGATGGAAAGTAAGGTGCTGGCCAAGAACAGAGCAAGATTTTGGCCCCCAAAACAAGCTGGGAAGTGATGTCACTTCCTATGTAATAATAATGCGGCTTCCCTGGATCCCTTCCAACTTCACACTGCTGAATCTGAGAAGAAATGGCAGTGAGCAGAGCTCTCCCACTCTCACGTGGAGGACAGGGTCTGCTCGCGGCAAAGATGAGTCGCATTGTAGAACTTCACCATTCAGAGAGAAAGCTCCTTCACATGCAGAATCTCGCTTGTCTCTCAGGACATTCCTGTGAGGTAGGCAGCACCGGCGTGTTACTGCCCCTTACAGAAGAGGGAACTGGCATCAGTGACAATCAGAATGGGTCTTAGATGGCTCTGGGATGTGCAGGAAGGACACCTGTATAAAGAATAAAAGACTGGCCAGGCGTGGTGGCTCATGCCTGTAATCCCAGCACTTTGGGAGGCCGAGGCAGGTGGATCATGAGGTCAGGCGTTCGAGACCAACTTGGCCAACATAGTGAAACCCCGTGTCTACTAAAAAAGCAAAAAATTAGCCGGGTGTGCTGGTGGGTGCCTGTAATCCCAGCTACTCGTGAGGTCGAGACAGGAGAATCACTTGAACCTGGAAGACGGAGGCTGTGGTGAGCCAAGATCATGCCACTGCACTCCAGCCCAGGCGACAGTGTGAGACTCCATCTCAAAATAAAAATAAAATAAAATAAAAAGAATAAAAGACTGCAGGCCCTTTCTCCTTCCCCGTGCCCATTTTAGTAGAATCATTTATTCATTAAATTCACTGAACACCTTCCATGGGCTGGGCACGCTGTCTTAGGCGTTGGGAACGTAGGAGTACACAGGTCCTGAGCACTGTCCTCCCCTGTGCCTGGGTCAGTCATCCTTACTCTGAACCCTGACCCAGACTGGCCTTGCCCTCCTCCTCTCTAGGTAGAGCAATGATCTCAGGCCAACTCTTGCATTTTGTTCCAGAAACCTCGATTGTTTCCCTGACTATTGGTCACTTCCCGAAATGCACTGAACTGTGCCAGGAATAGGATATGTTTTTAAGTGCTTGAGACACAGACAAGTGGCAGACGCATACCCAAATTCCAGTCATATCTTACTTCTGACCGAATTTTAATATGTTTCATGCAGTTACACAATTCTCTGTGCATAATGCTCTGAGAAAAGGGATGGCACATACGGTTTCTCCTGAAGTGGGAAACAAAGCCCAGTTGGTAAGGTGGCCAGTCTCTATGGCGTCTTAGATGAACCTCTTTTCTTCTCATTACTTTTCCTTCATCTACTTTTTTTCTGAGATGGAGCTGTGCTCTGTCGCCCAGGCTGGAGTGCAGTGGCCGGATCTCAGCTCACTGCAAGCTCCGCCTCCCGGATTCACGCCATTCTCCTGCCTCAGCCTCCCAAGTAGCTGGGACTACAGGCGCCCGCCACCTCGCCCGGCTAGTTTTTTGTATTTTTTAGTAGAGACGGGGTTTCACCGTGTTCGCCAGGATGGTCTTGATCTCCTGACCTCGTGATCCGCCCGTCTCGGCCTCCCAAAGTGCTGGGATTACAGGCTTGAGCCACTGCGCCCGGCCCGTATTTTTCTATTGACTATAATGAGTAGAACTGTGTCTCTTACAAAGGTAAGTCCAGCCGTGCACGATGGCTCACGCCTGTAATCCCAGCACTTTGGGAGGCTGAGTCGAGTGGATCACGAGGTCAGGAGTTTGAGACCAGCCTGGCCAATATGGTGAAACCCCATCTCTACTAAAAAATACAAAAATTAGCTGGGTTTGTGGGGGTGCGTGCCTGTAGTCCTGGCTACTTGGAGGCTGAGGCAGGAGAATCGCTTGAACCTGTGAGGCGGAGGTCACAGTGAGCCCAGATCATGCCACTGCACTATAGCCTGGGCAACAGCGTGAGACTCTGTCTCCAAAAAAAAAAAAAATTAGCCAGGCGTAGCAGTGCGCACCTGTAGTCCCAGCTACTGAGGAGGCTGAGGCAGAATTGCTTGAACTGGGGAGGTGGAGGCTGCAGTGAGCCCAGATTGTGCCACTGCACTCCAGCCTGGGCAACAGAGTGAGACTCCGCCTCAAAAAAAAGAAAGACAAAAAAAAAAAATCCTGGCTGGGTGTGGTGGCATGCACCTGTAATCTTAGCACTTTCAGAGGCCAATCCCTTGAGCCCAGGAGTTTGAGACCAGCCTGGGCAATATAAGGAGACCCTGTCTCTAAAAAAATAAATAAATAAAAAAGATAAGTCCAAGTTCAAGTCCCTAGTACCTGTGAATGTCACCTTACTTGGAAAGAGTATTTGCTGATCTAATTAAGGTAAGGGTCTCGAGATGAGAGTATCCTCATTAGAGTGGGCCCTAAATCCAGTGACATGGGTTCGGTGTCCAGTGATGTCTTTACAAGAGACAGGAAAGAATACATACAGCACAGGGGAGAAGGCCACAGGAAGACAGAAGCAGAGACTGGACTTACACTGTCACAAGCCAGGGAATACCAAGGATTGCCGAGGGCCACTAGAGAAAGGAGAAAGGCATGGAATGATTCTCCCCCAGAGCCTTCAGAAAGAACCTACCTTACTAACCACTTTAATTTCAGACTTTGGGCCTCCAGAACTGTGAGACTCAATTTCTGTTAAGTCACCCAGGTGGTGGTTGTTTTTTTTTTTTTTTTGTCTTCGAGACAGAGTCTTGCTTTGTCACCCCGGCTGGAGTGCAGTGGCATGGTCTCGGCCCACTGCAACCTCTGCTTCCTGAGTTCAAGTGATTCTCCTGCCTCAGCCTCCCGGTTAGCTGGGATTACAGGCACACGCCTCCAAGCCTGCCTAATTTCTGTATTTCTAGTAGAGACAGGGTTTCACCATGTTGGCCAGGCTAGTCTTGAACTCCTGACCTCAAGTGATCTGCCCACCTCAGCCTCCCAAAGTGCTGGGATTACAGGCATGAGTCCTGCACCCGGCCAGGTTGTGGTAATTTTTTATGGTAGCCCTAAGAATAAATACACAGACCCAAACTTTTCCCTTTTTGAGCAAGGGCTACCATATACAACTTGACCTGAGAGTGCAGCCTTCAATCCTTTCCCCCGGGGCCTCTGGCAACAGTTCTCAGATGACTATGCTCAGAGAGACACCTGTGACTGTCCACCCAGCAGCCATCTGTTCACCAGCAGAGGAGACCGGAAGCCCCTTGTGAGGTGCTGGGTTCTGTAGCTTCAGGAGTGGGATCCATGTCATCATCCATATCAGATCTGTCTGCTCCAGTCTCAACTCTTTCTTCCTGCCTGATCCAAAGGCTATTTTCTAGCTGTTCTTCAGCAATTTCTAGCTCTTCTTCTGTTTGTAAAGTAGCCACGGTTTCCCGGGGCAAGTTTGAGGAATATAGCCCAAATTTGGCTTTACAACCGAACATTGCCTCAAATGGACTTTGCTGCAAGGAAACGTCGAAAGCCTGATTCCTCACCATCTGCAGGAATCGGAGGCCTTTGGCCCAGTGACATAAACGGTTACTCTGCATCCAGGTACCTATCATGTTCTTCACATCACGGCTTGCTCCTTCCAGGGAGCCCTGGCTTTGGCCAGGGTGGTAATTACCAGACACAATCTTTAGGTCTGGCCACAACTCATTGAGCTCCTGAACAACCTCGTTTGTGAACTCAACGCCACTGTCAGAGTCTAACACAGTGGGTGTACCAAGAATTGTGAAAATATCTAATAAGACACTGACCACCTCACGGGCCTGTTTGGTTCTTAATGGCCGTAAAATAATAAACTTGGTCAAGTGGTCCTGGTAGTATAAAATGAACTTGAACTCACCATCGGCACTTGACTGCATGTCAAGTATTTCAACTTGGCACGTGGAGTCTATGTCCTTAAAAGTCAGGGGCTTGGGCGGAAGGCCTTTCTTGGGTACTGGGTTCTTCTGGTGGCACTGTTTACACAGAGTCAGATATAAGACAATAACTTCTTTGGTGACATTCCCATATTTTCCTTGCAGCTCCTTGAGCATGCGTGTCCGCCCACCATGTCCAATACTGAGATGTGTATCATGAAGAATATCAAACAACTCTTCTTTATGTACATAATACCGTATTCGATCACGTTCTCCATGAGTAGCCTCTATCAGTTTCTCTGTGCCCTGTACAGAGATCACGTCATATTTTGCCGCACGGCGATAATCACGTGATGACTTCTTCCCTTTTTCTTTAGCTTCTTTAACTTCCTTTATTGTTTGAAAGTACTTTTCTTTGGAAAATACCTTGCTGTTGTAACTTTTGCTTTCTACTAACTTTGTTACACTCATAAGAAACGTTTCTCTCATGTTACTTATCTCCATTTCCATTTCATTCACATTTGAAACACCAGGTGGATCATTTCCAGCTCTCTGAGGCATCATGGAGAACTGTAAGAAGGATGCTAAGAAAGGAAAAAAAGAGAACAAAGTTAAATTCACTGACACTCCCACCTGGAAGACTTCCCCTCTGGAGTTCCTCATCAATTCTTTCATATAATTTTTGAAGATGATTATATGGAAGAATGATAATAGAGTCATAGTAAAAAGCAATTAGAAAGCCGACTGGCACCATCCAAAACCACAGCATAGCAATAGAATTTGACATCAGTTAAATCACAAATATGTAGAGGTTTTAGACTTTCGGCAAACAGAAAAAACAACGAAGCCATTAGCTTATAGCATGAAACCTAATCAACTGGTTTTCATTAATTGAACAGGAGAGAGGATAAACAGAAACTCCTAAGGCAGTAGGCTAAAATCTTACCCTCAGTACCCTTTAAAATAATATAAATGGGAGAACGTTGCTAAAAGGTACCACATAATAACAGCAAACTCTTAAACTGAAATTTGTACCAGGCATTGCTTCTGAGGCTTCCCATGATCAACAGAAACAATCTCTTGGCCAGGCGCAGTGGCTCACGCCTGTAATCCCAGCACTCTGGGAGGTCGAGGTGGGCGGATCACTTGAGGTCAGGAGTCCGAGACCAGCCTGGCCAACATGGTGAAACCCCATCTCTACTAAAAATACAAAAACTGGCCAGGTGCGGTGGTGGGCACCTGCAATCCCAGCTCCTCGGGAGGCTGAGGCAGGGAGAATGGCTTGAACCCGGAAGGCGGAGGTTGCAGTGAGCCGAGACTGCGCCACTGCACTCCGGCCTGGGCGACAAAGGGAGACTGTTTCCAAAAAAAAAAAAAGAAAAAAATGCTTATGGCAGAAGAGTCTGTCCTAATTTTGCGTGAATCAAGAAGAAAGCTGTGGGAAATCGAGTAGCTGGCTAACGGAGCGGTTTTTCCGTTTTGACCAATTGTCCCCCACCAAGATTAATAAAGGAAGATTCTTGAGAGTTCATCCTTACCCTGTGGGACCGTGTTCTCATAACTGTCCAGCATTGTGTCTCTGTAGCAATCCTTTTGAAAGGCTTCTAAATAATTCCAATATTTGGTCATATCTTCAAATGCTGTTGCTTCCTGAGACAACACTGGCTGCTGCCACAGGGACCATACAGTCTGGGGGCCTGGGATAAGGAGCAGCCTCAGCAGGTCTGCGGAAGAGACAAGAGAGGGCATCAGGAATGAAGGCATGCAGCATAGAGGACTCTGAAAGCGAGTCAGGTGAATAAATGGAAGAAATAAGAAATAGGTCTCATATCCAACAAGATGAGTACAGCTTCATGGGTGAGGGAAAGGAGTTTTGCTTTCCTGGGAGGTCTGTTGGTCTGGCCAGTTTTGACGCTGCCAGAGCTGTAGCCCGTGTATTAATATTTCCAGAATAAAGCAGAGTCCAAGTGAACTTGAGCACAGGCTTGATGACGCCTAACAGGGATGGCAGGATCTGTTTCCAATGGAAATATTATGTCTGTGTACATGGAGATATGTCAGGAGATTATCCTGCAGAAAACAGATACCCCAAAGGGAGTCTACATGCCACTGTGATCAGATAATTCCTTAAGGGGAGAACTTGATACTCAGTTGTCTAAACCGGGATTCCTTAGTTAGAACAGCCCTAAGACAGGATGGTGATGAGGCCAGGGGAGTTCATATGAGGACCGCAGGAATTCCAGCAAGCTTAGGAAAAGAGGATCCCAAGATCCCAGCTGTCAGATGCAGAGCGGAGGGGCAGGGCAGAATCCTGAGAAGCAGACAAAGATGGAAACTTTTCAAAGTTCTGAGCAAGAGTCTCAGTTAAGTGGAACGTACTTCCAGGTCCTGAAGCTCCTCCACTAAAAGGGCTTCAAACTCCCTTCCTCAGCATTGCTGGTTAATCATGTATATTCCTGATTCTAAGACATTACTGACTGTAAAACCACTGACTTAATAACTTTCTTTTGAGAGGAAAAACAGTGTGTATTAAATGAATGTATTGATGACACATCCAAAATTTTAAATGTGAAAAATGTGCATTTGCATTCTTTTTCTTTTTTTGTATTTTTTATAGAGATGGGGTTTTGCCATGTTGCCAAAAACCCAGGCTGGTCTCGAACTCCTGGGCTAAAGTGATTCACCTGCCTCAGCCTCCCAAAGTGCTAGGATTACAGGCCTGAGGCAGTGGGCCTGGCCAAAACTATGCCTTGCAGAAATGAAGAAACTGCACATTTGCAAAATGCTCTTTACTCTAAGCCTGGGTTCAAGATCTTCTGCAAACTGACATTTTAAAGGCTCTGAGGCTGGGCACAGTGGCTCACACCTGTAATCCCAGCACTTTTGGGAGGCTGAGACGGGCAAATCACCTGAGGTCAGGAGTTCGAGACTAGCCTGGCCAACGTGGTGAAACCCTGTCTCTACTAAAAATACAAACATTAGTCAGGCATGGTGGTGCATGCCTGTAGTCCTAGCTACTCAGGAAGCTGAGGCAGGAGAATCACTGGAACCCAGGAGGCAGAGGTTGCGGTGAGCCGAGATCGTGCCACTGCACTCCAGCCTGGGCGACAGAGTGAGAGTCTGTTTCAAAAAACAAAAAAAGGCTCTGAGAAGTCCTGCAGTAAAGAAACCAGCTTCACTTTGTTTCATCCACCAGTACCATTCAATCATTGACATGGGACTTCGTTTCCCAAGGAATATCTATTACCATCCCACGGTCTTACTAGCTTTTTTTTTAACACCGGGGTACACCACCACGCCTGGCTAATGTTTTGCATTTTTAGTAGAGATGAGGTTTTGCCATGTTGGCCAGGCTGGTCCTTGAACTTCTGGCCTCAAGTGGTCTGCTTGTTTTGGCCTCCCAAAGTGTTGGAATTATAGGCATGTACAGCCAGCGCACCCGGCCGGTCCTACTAGTTCTAACAGTTCTTGAAACCACAAGGTATTCAATGGAGTCCAGAAAGAGCACCTTCCAGATTCCTTTCTGAAACCAGCATCTCTCACAACTTGAGTGCTGTGTTGGTTGCTGTTTGATTCCCTTCAGGGGACCGCAAAGAAAGGAAAAGTCTCATCTTCATTCTATAAAATAACGAAGGCAACTGGGCACAGTGGCTCATGCCTGTAATCCTAACACTTTGGGAGGCCAAGGTAAGAGGACTGCTTGAGGCCAGGAGTTCAAGACCAACCTAGTCAACATAGTGAGACCCTGTCTCTAAAAATAAAAAAATTAAAAAAAAAAGAAAGAAGAACGGAGGCAACAGGCTAGAAACAATTTATAACCAAAAGATGTAGAATCACAGTCTTTAGTAAGAGATCCAGTCCTTACTATACCATGAAATTCTGCAGTAGAGTCCAAAGTCCACAATTATCTAATAGACCTATTTTGGTTGGTCCATCTAGTGATTTTTAAAAATTTGAATTTTTCGACCAGGTGTGGTGGCTCACACCTGTAATCCTAGCACTTTGGGAGGCTGAGGCGGATCACGAGGTCAGGAGATTGAGACCATCCTGGCTAACACGGTGAAATCCCATCTCTGCTAAAAATACAAAGTATTAGCTGGGCGTGGTGGCAGGAGCCTGTAGTCCCAGGAGGCTGAGGCAGGATAACGACGTGAACTCGAGAGGCGGAGCTTGCGGTAAGCCGAGATCGTGCCAATGCACTCCAGCCTGGGCGGCAGAGCCAGACTCCATCTCAAAAAAAAAAAAAAAAAAAAAAAAAAAAAAAAAAAAAAAAGGAATGTTTCACCTATATTTACAGATTGGGAGATTTCACATAAAAATCTCGATTTCTGCCTTTTTTTTTCTTTCGAGACAGAGTTTTGCTCTGTCGCCCAGGCTAGAGGGCAGTGGCTCGATCTCGGCTCACTGCAAGCTCCGCCTCCTGGGTTCAGGCCATTCTCCTGCCTCAGCCTCCAGAGTAGCTGGGACTACAGACGCCCGCCACCACGCCCGTGTAATTTTTTGTATTTTTAGTAGAGATGAGGTTTCACCCTGTTAGCCAGGATGGTCTCGGTCTCCTCACCTCGTGATCCACCCGCCTCGGCCTCCTAAAGTGCTGGGATTACAGGCGTGAGCCACTGCGCCCGGCCTCAATTTTTGGCTTTCTTGAAAAGGCAATGTTCTGGCTGCACTGGCGGCATTGCTGCCTGGCAATAACTGGCTGTAATAGGCAGCATCTTCCTTTGGATCAAGTTTGTCCAACCTGTGGCCTGTGGGTCGCATGCAGCCCAGGACGTCGGGACCTACTAACCTATTCATCTTGCCCACTCCTGCAGATTTCTAAGCTTTCAGTATCTTTTTTTTTTTTTTTTGAGAGGGGTCTCACTTCGTCACCCAGGCTGGAGTGCAGTGGCATGATCACGGCTCCCAGGGTCAAGGCATCCTCCCACCTCAGCCTCCTGAGTACCTGGGACTACAGGCATGCGTCACCAGGCCCGGCTAATTTTTTTCTCTCTTTTTTTTTTTTTTTTTTGTAGAGACGGGGTCTCATGTTGCCTGAGGCTTCAGTATCTTTTCCAAAGCAACATGAAACAAATGTGATCGTAAATCAATCAGCTTCCTGGTGTGATCTGTGCTGACGGCTAAGGGATAAACGGCTAAGTGATAAACGAGTTGGTCAGAGAAAACTGGAAATATTTCCAAAGCCATGTTTACTCCCTTCACCCACCTGTGAGTCTTTGCCTCGGCGGTTTCCGACTTGGAATGTCCTCGCATCGATCTTCCCAATCCCAGCCAGCTGAAATCAGCCTCCTTCCCGACGTATTCAGTAACTTCAGCTGATTGCCATCTGGACTTCATCTCAACACCTGTACCACACTCACGGGCGCACTCTTGATTTGCATCTGCAGTCGACCAGTTCAGATGTATGCAACCTAAAAAGTAGGGACGGAGCCCTCTGCCTGCCTGTACCCCCTTTGGAGGGCCCACGAATACAGAGCTGAGCACAAAAGGTGTTCAAAGGACATTTAGTCAAAAATGTCGCTTACAGGTAGATTGTCATTAGCAAGGCAGAGCAGCGGTATGGCCGAGTCTACGCTTGGGAACTCATTTTCTGACTCTTACCATTTACTGACTAAAGCAAAGTTACTGGAGCCTCAGTTTCCTCATCTACAACCCGGGGAGAGGACCAGTACCCATCACAATCGATTGCTATGAAGATTCAATGACAATGCAGATAAGGCACTTAGTACAGTGTCCCTGCACCGTCCACGCCACCGGGCACGCCCGCTTATTCCTGAGGACCGGGCTGGGGCGTCGCCTCCTTTGTGTTGCCTTCCTACCCTGACTTCGCAGAATGATCCCCACAGCCTGGATCCACGCCCGTCCGCCCGCCAGCTCAGGGCTGAACCGCTGAGGCGGGTGCGCGGTGGAGAAAAGAGCCGCAGACTGAGGAAGGTCGGGAAAGAGAAAGGGATACACTAGACGCTGCGTCTGAATCCCCTCCACCCACGGCGAGCAGCAGCATCGCCGCCCCACCTCCCGCCGGCTCCGCCGGAAGCCGGTCAGCGCCAGCCGGAAGCCCCGCCCCCTCGAAGCGCCGCGGATCGGAGGAGCCACCGCTCTTCACTCCAGGCTTTGCCCGGCCGGGACAGCACTGCGGACCCCCTGCGGCGCTGTCCACCCAAATGACAGCTGCGACCTCGTCCAAGCCGGTGACTTAACTCGGGCCCGTTACCCGTTCCCACTTTGTTGCCAAGTCTCCAGCCTGGAAAATAAACTGGCTTCAGGTATCCTGTTTAGATCCTTAAAATGAGGAACGGCAGGAACACACACAGCGCTGCCACCTCACACCTTTTCACTTCATCCTGACGAAGCTGCGGTTCAGTTCGGATGTGTGAGGTTTTGGTCTGATGGCACTCACCCAGCACTTGGGCAGAAAATAAGGTAAACGGGGCCCATGGGTCCCTCAGAGAACCTGAACCTGAGATCTCTCAATCTAGACAAACAGCTTGAAGTGATCTAGATGCTATAGGAAGTCACAGAAGCTTCTTATCCTATTGAAAGCAAGACTTCCTATCCAATGGCAATACAGACTTTTATATACAGTAAGTTAAAAAATACAGGCTGTCCATATAGCAACCTATCTATAATAAGAAAGTTAAAAAACAGGTTCAAGAGGAAGTATTTCCAACTAGCTTTTCTTATAGGCCTTCTTCTCAATGAGACCCCTCCAGCTACTGATATATCCTCAAATGCTGCTGCCCACTATAAAAAAATATATGTATCAGTCCTAATTTCAGAAAAATTTTGACTGACAAATCAGAGGTAAGAGACCAGTCCACTGAAAACTAGGGAGTGTCATAAATCACCACACACAAAACACAGGCTCTTTGCTTCAAGTTTTAATCAAAGCTTTTATATAAGATTACTTTATTCCTGCATCTTCTCAATTGTTTCTTCCTTGTATTTGCCCTTTTCCTTTCCTACTTGGCGAGATTTGGCTTTCCGTTCAAGGATCTTTTTGCGGTCTTTGTCCAGTTTTAGCCTAGTGATAACCACCTGCAGAAAAATAAGAAAAACACACTCCCAAGCTTTAAATAATCACTAAAACACATGGGAAAGCCCAACATTCAATACCATTTCCCACACCTGGGGCAGGTTGATGGCTAAATAAGATTTAACTTTTTAAAAATTCCAGAAATTACTCTTTAGCCATCAAACCTGGCTTATTTACTAATTTCCCACCAACAAAGGAGAAAAAGGCAAGATGGCATCAGTAATTCTTATCATAGCCTCTTCTGTGCTTCATTGTAAAATGTGTTTCTTTTTCATTGAGAAATATGATTCTGCTCTTCTCCAGTTTTACAAGCTGGCATATATATTTGTTTCTAAAGTAACTTCAGGCTGGGTGTGGTGGCTCATGCCCCCAATCCCAGCACTTTGGGAAGCAGAGGCGGGTGGATCACCTGAGGTCAGGAGTTCGAGACCAGCCTGGCCAACATGGTGAACTCCCTTCTCTACTAAAAATACAAAAATTAGCCGGGCATGGTGGCACATTCCTGTAATCCCAGCTACCTGGGAGGCAGGAGAATCTCCGGAACCCGGGAGGCGGAGGCTGCAGTGAGCTGAGATCATCCCATTGCACTCCAGCCTGGGCGACTGAGTGAGACTCATCTCAAAAAACAAACAAACAAACAAACAAACAAAACAGCTGGGTGTAGTGGCAAATGCCTGTAACCTAGCTACTCAGGAGGCTACAGCAGGAGAATCACTTGAACCCAGGAAGCAGAGGATTGCAGTGAGCCGAGATCACACCACTGCACCAGGTTGGGCGACAAGAGCAAAACTGTCCAAAACAAAACAAAAAAAACCCCACCCCAAAACAGAAAAATATAATAAAGTAACTTCAGAATTATAACTTCAGAATTTTAATGTTAGAAATTAAAGGTAGCATCCACACACAATTCCACCAGAAAAATCTTTAGTGAGAATATGACAATACAGATCTTATTCCAACAGTTCAAATCCTAAAAGACATCCAAATTATGATAAACTTTAGTCTTATGAGGGCGAGGAAAGGGTGAAAAGAGGTGCTGGAAATACAGCATGCTGACCGAACAAAAATCTCCAGTTGCTGAACTCACGTTCTAGTACAGGGAGCCCGAAAACATGTACAAGTGAATCGACATCACTTTGATAGAGAAAGGCGGTAAGTGTGAGGAGGCCGAGGGGCTTTCTAGAGTGATCAAGCAAAGTCCTACTGATAAAGCTACATTTGAACAGAGACCTAAAGTGCTAAGCACTTTATTTATATATAGGTATCTGTTTTTTTTTTTTTTTCTTTCCTTTTTGTGGAGAACGGGGTCTCGCTATATTACCCAGGCAGGTCTCGAACTCCTGGGCTCAAGCTATCCTCCCGCCTCTGCCTCCCTGAGAGCTGGGATTACAGGCGTGAGCTCTGGAAGAGAACACCAAGTTGAAAGGTTCAAAGGCAGGAGATGATCAAGTTTCACAGGTGTGTTTCTCACACTTGAATAAGAATCAACTGGAGGGCTTATTAAAAACAGACACCTGGGTCAAAAGCCCTAATTTTGCCTCAGTAGGCCTGGGGTCCTAGAATTTCTAATTCTACCAAGTTGCTAGGAGGCGAGCAGACTAAAGCATACAGAATGGAAAAGATGTCAGAAGTAAGGGAAGATCAGTTAAGGTCTTTTTTTTCCCCGAAATGGAAGTCTCGCTCCGTCACCCAGGCTGGAGTGCAATGGCACAATATTGGCTCACTACAACCTCCGCTTCCCAGGTTCAAACGATTCTCCTGCCTCAGCCTCCCAAGTAGCTGGGATTACAGGCGCCCGCCACCACGCCTAGCTAATTTTTTTTGTATTTTCAGTAGAGACGGGATTTCACCAGTTGATCAGGCTGGTCTTGAACTCCTGACCTCAGGTAGTCTGCCTGCCTCGGCCTCCCAAAGTGTTAGGATTACAGGCGTGAGTCACTGCGCCCGGCCACATCAGTTAAGGTCTTACGGGCCAATGTGATGGCAAAGGGCAGACAGAATTCTAGGTATAATGAGACAGCAGTCCACAGACCTTATAAACTGATGTGAGGTATATAATAAATCAGTCACAATGACATTTTTGGTTGGACAAGGCAGCTCATGACTATAATCCCAACACTCTGGGAGGCCTAGGTGGGAAGATAGTTTCTGGCTAGGAGTTCGAGACCAGTGCCTGGGTAACACTGCAAGAACCCGTATTAAAAAAATTTTTAAATGACATTTTGGCCTGAGCAATTAGGATCATAGAGAGCTGTCATACACTATGATGGTTTGAACATGCCAAGTTTGGGATACTAATTACAAGATGATTACTGAGTTACTCAAAGATCGACTGTCACATGCTGCACTGACATGTGCAGTACAAAAAGACAATCTGCTACCAGATTGGTGACCTTTAAAACAACTTTTCTGGTGTTGGGAAGCGAAAAATATAACTGGAGTAGGTTAATGAATGAGAAAGTCCTTGCTCTTAAGAGATACATACTGAAGTAATTACAGGTGAAGTGTCATGATCTTTTTTTAGTAAATTCACTGGGGGTGGAGAAAATGGACAAAGAGCACGTGGCAAAATTTTAATAGAGAATTCTAGGTCAGAGATATACAGGTGTTTTACTATACCAGGCTTTTGACTTCTCTGAGGCTTAAAAATTACATTTATTGGCTGGGCGCGGTGGCTCATGCCTGTAATCCCAGCACTTTGGGAGGCAGAGGTGGGTGGATCACGAGGTCAGGAGATCAAAACCATCCTAGCTAAGGATAACACGGTGAAACGCCGTCTCTACTAAAAATACAAAAATTAGCCGGGCATGGTGGCGGGCGCCTGTAGTCCCAGCTCCTCTAGAGGCTGAAGCAGAATGGCATGAACCTGGGAGGCGGAGCTTGCATGCCACTGCACTCCAGCCTGGGCCAGAGCCAGACTGTCTCAAAAAAGAAAAACCAGGGCCAAAGTGCCATTTCATCTTACAAAAACCTACTTCCCAAATTTTAAGATCTATAAATTATTGATTGTTAATCAGCTTACTAATAGCTTTTGAAGAAAAAGCACATTTAATATACACGATGGGACGAGCATGGTGGCTCATGCCTATAATCCCAGCACTTTGGGAGGCCAAGGCAGGCAGATCACCTGAGGCCAGACCAGCCCCGCCAACACAGTGGAACCTTTGGCCAACATAGTGAAATTTTATACTAAAAAGTACAAAAATTAGCCAGGTGTAGTGGTGCATGCCTGCAGTCACAGCTGCTCAGGAGGCTGAGGCTGCAGTGAGCCGAGATTGTGCCACTGCACTCCAGCCTGGGTGACAGAGCAAGAACCTGTCTCAAAAACAAACTAACAGAAACATAATGACCGTTAAAGACACTTTGATTTCAGAAACATTTTAAATGTTATTAGAATTTTCAACAGAAGTGCGGTAGTATTTACTTCAAGATATGTTTTTTTCCAGCACATGTGAAAAATCAAGGACTATTTCTATGGGCTCGCTCTGTAAACAACCACACGTCAACAATACTTGCCATAATTTCCTTCTCTCAAGCATTCTCAAAAACACCTACCTTGCTGGGGTGAATGCCTACGTGGACCGTTGTGCCATTAGCCTTTTCCCGCTGCACCCGTTCAATGTAGATAACATACTTCTTCCTGTAAACCTGGACTACTTTGCCAATTTGCTGACCTTTATAGTGTCCTCGTACAACCTAAGTGCAAATTCAAAAGTAAATATTTGAATAAAAGATTAACCTTGTAAATCAAGTAAACAAACTCATGCATACACCACTCACCCTATCATTATATTAAAAGGTTAAAAAAAAAAAGAGCCCACTTTGGCAACTTGTAGTAAGTTGACACTCCATCTCAAAAGGAGCAACAGACCAAGAGTATTTAAATCTGAACCCATTAATGTGTTCAACCTAGTGCTAGTCAGAGGGCAGCAACAAATGCTTAAGGGAACAAACCAATTCTTTCCCAAAGGTTAATCGACAGAAATCCTAGTGGTCCTCAGTTTGTCAGGCCAAGTGTTTCTGAACAGATTCTTCTTCCCAGTTTGTGACTTTCTTGCATTGATATGTATTGAAAACAGAGATGATCGTTTTTAAGGTCTACTGGCAAGTTTAGCACTACTATAGCAGGGACCAACAGCTGTTCTCAACCCACACTGTTCATTTGTGAACCCATTACATTTTATTGAAATAGCATGAAAACACATTGATGATGTGTATGTAAATGGCTTTAGAGACTGCCTGAATTCTGTAATCACTAGCTGCACTACAGATTACACCTAAGGGTCATTTATAGAAACCTTCACCTAAGTAGATCCAACAAATTATTTACCTGTAAGCACAAACGATCATGTGAGACTACGCTTCATTACAGCTCCTGAATCTAGATTTGGAGCAATTGTTTACTGGTCCTCAACTGCCTCTTCAATGACCAAACACTGAAACCTCCTTCGCAAAAATTGCAACAGTGAGAAAATTACAGCAGTTAAAAGAGATCTGACCTAACTAACTCCATCTTGCTTCTAACCTCCAAGATGGCCTTGCTCATTCCTGGGCATAGACCAAACTAACTCCTTTAGGAGGACCTTAGTCTACAGTTTAAATTTGAAACAAACCCCGTTCTTGCCTGGAGACCAGACTGCCTTTGTAGGACTAACAAATTGGCTGCAAGACTAGAAATTATGGTTTAGGCAGCTAGAGGCCAAAAGATTCTAAACTTCTCCAATTGCTCCTAGGGATAACACATTGTAAAGCCTAAGATTTGCGTGGTATTTTTTTCAGACCCTGCACTGATGGATCCGCTGGTGCCACCCAGATCACTAAACTAGCTCAGGTGATCTTGTGGCCCCCATCCAGGAACCAACTCAGAGCAAGAAGACAGCTTCAACTCCCTATGCCTTCATCTCTGATGTGACCTATCAACACGCCCCACTCCCTGGCCCCCACCCGCTAAGTTATCCTTCAAAAAACTCCAGTCCCCACATTTTCTGGGAGACTGATTTGAGTAATAAACTCTGGTCTCCCGTTCTGACTCTGCATGTATTAAACTCTTTCTTTATTGCAACTCCTGTCTAGATAAATCAGCTCTATCTGGACAGCAGGCAAAATGCGCCTGTTGGGTAGTCACAACGTATTGATAAAAAGATAATCCCAAGGCAATGTTCTGATTATCTGTCACCTAATTATGGCCACATCATCTGACATTTGGGAAAATGGATTTTCAGGCAGGATCCCCAGGAGTTGGAGACGAACCTGGACAATAAAGTGAGACCCTGCTCTACAAAAACAAAAACAGGTCCCACATGGGAGCATCGCTTGAGCCCAAAAGTGAGCCATGACCATGCAACTACACTCCAGTCTGGGTAAGAGTGAGACCCTGTCTCAGCTGGACACAGTGGCTCACGCCTGTAATCCCAGCACTTTGGGAGGCCGAGGCGGGCAGATTACGAGGTCAGGAGATGGAGACCATCCTGGCTAACATGGTGAAACCGCGTCTCTACTAAATATACAAAAAATTAGCCGGGCGTGGTGGCGGGCGCCTGTAGTCCCAGCTACTCGGGAGGCTGAGGCAGGAGAATGGCGTGAACCCAGGAGGCGGAGCTGGCAGTGAGCTGAGATCGCGCCACTGCACTCCTGGGCGACAGAGCAAGACTCTGTCTCCAAAAAAAAAAAAAAAAAGAAAATAAAATTGAGATTTTTACCTAAGAATACAATTAAAAACTGAACAGCAGCTTACTTGTTTTTCGGTCCCTGGCTCATCTCGCCACTCTTTGGGAGGAAGAGTCTTAGAAGCATCTTTATCAGGCATGCAATCCCTCTTCTAAGCTAAGTGCGTGAAATATCCATCAAGACCACGAGAACAAGTAGGGATACACACCTGAACTTCATCATCCTTTCGGATGGGCATGGATCGCACGTTGTACTTCTGTCTCAGCTCTTTGGAAAGAGGGGAAGACATAATCTTCCTGCGAATGTGGGAAGGTGCATTGAAATGCCTTTTGCGATTCTTGCTTCGGTCGGAAGTCACAAAGGGATTAAACTTCATTTTGGCTACATAAAAAGTTAAAAAGACTCTTAAATGACCAAAATCTCATCCAGCTTCCAAACAAATAACCACAATGATTTTATCTTGATAGTCTAGAATGATCATAGGAACTGTCATGTGCTGCAACTTCAATAAAAACTGCTTGATCAGAAGGGCCTATCAACCGAAGCTCGAAACTAAATGAGTAAGGCCCTCCATCCCGAACCTGGAAAAGCCTGCACACGTCTCGGGTCCTAGAAGTCTCCCAGTAAGCAAGTGTGTGGTCTGGAAGTTCCGTGAAGACTTTACCGAGAAGTTACTTCGAGACCATTCTCTAGGAAACGACATCGCCCAGACTCGAGTCTATTTCCACAGGCTCCCTTTCCTCAACTCGTTTTCGAGTCCCCAGATCCCCGATCCCTCCATCCCTTTCCGGTCCGGCGGCCCTTGATTGAAGCGACCAACAGGTAAAAAAAAAAACCATCCCGGCCTCCCCTTCCTGGCTGCTACTCGTCCGACGGGAGACTCGGGACCCCCGCGGTCAGAAGCCACCATGCCCAAGAACGGATGGCTGTGGATTACACCCGCTTGCCCGCCGAATCCTTACCCGCTCCCACTTCGGTGATGGCCGCAAAAGGGAAAAGAACTACACGCTGCTTCCGGTTCTGTAAGTTTACGAAAGATCTCGCGAGACCTTTGTCTCTTGGAGCGAGAGGGGCGCGGAGTTTGAGCGCAAGCAGTAAACTGGGAAATAAATTTATGGCTAGTGTCACCTACTGGCTAGGAGGGGAACTGCGAGGGATTGTAAAACTCCCGTCTTCCAGGTCCTAGTGTTTGTCTTCCTTCCGAGACCCGGGTGCTGTCGCTGAATGCTCTCGGAAGGGTAGTCCCCGGGCGAGTGGCGAAGGCTGCTCAGGGTCCAACTGCCCCTGGGGGTGATGAAGGAACGAGCGGCCCCAGGAGACCCCCTGGTACCTTCACTCCCAGGTGCCGGGGGGAGGGGGGACCGGCACCCCCTTAGCCGGGGAAAGGCATGCCCTGCTTCTGGCCGCCAGGAGGCGCGGGGACGCCGGCTGGCCGGCCGGTCGCCTGGGTCCCTGCACTCACCGTCCCCGCCCGCCTGTGGCGTGGGCGCGGCCAGCGTGCCGGTACTTTAACGAGCTCCATCGCGACGCCGGCCACCGCCCCTGCACTTCGGCGTCTGCTGACCGCACCGCGGGGCGCGCCAGAGATTCGGTTCTGGGTGGCGGGGGGCCTTGCGAGGACCGGGGCCACCGATCGCCCCCCGCGGAAATAGGTCCAAGGCCGCGTTTCTAAGGCGCCCCCAGTGCTGCGACAGGTGCTGGTCCAGACCACGCTTCGAAGGAGCCGGGCGGGAGGAAGCCTCTCGGTGCGGGGAGTTGCGCGGCTTTCTAAATGCTCGGCCTGTTCGCGTCCAGTTCAGGACCAGACGGAAGCCGTGCGCTCCCTGCAAATGGTTTCTTTCTTTCTTTCTCTCTCAATTTTTTTGTCTTTTTCTTCTTTTTGAGACAGAGTTTCACTCTTGTTGCCCAGGCTGGAGTGCAATGGCACGATCTCCGCTCACTGCAATCTCCGCCTCCCGGGTTCAAGCGATTCTCCTGCCTCAGCCCCCCTAGTAGCTGGGATTACAGGCGCCCGCCACCACGCCCGGCTAATTTTTGTATTTTTAGTAGAGACGACGTTTCACCATGTTGGCCAGGCGGGTCTTGAACTCCTGACCTCAAGTGATCCGCCCGCCTCGGTCTCCCGAAGTTCTGGCATTACAGGCGTGAGCCACCTGAGCCACCGCACCTGGCCCCTGCAAATGGTTTCTGAGGCAGCCGCAGTACAGCAGGCACCGGCGCTGAACGGCTTCTGCTGAATGAATGACATGGGTGTCACAGTGACAGAGGACACGCGTTTCACACGAATACCGAAGACGTAATGAGCCTGCTGGGTGTGGGGACGCTCTTGTCTACACTTTACATCATGAATTCTTTTAATCCACAAAATGGCCCTGTTGTTGTTGGTATTACTGTCCCCATTTTACAGATTGGGCAACTCAGCCACAGAGAAATGAGAGGAACTCAGTGCAAGGTTATTCAGGACCCACAAGTCACAGGGAAGCCGTGCAGGCTGGCTCCCCAGCCTCTTCTGGGAACTGTATATATGGCCCCAATTTGTGGGGGACCTCATACCCAGGACTGCCCAGAGGATGGTCAGCACGAACATACATTTTCATGGTTTAAAAATAGTTGTGTTCTTAAATATGTTCTCAAGGAAGTAGCCCTAGGTTCTATTCATAACTGAAAAATTCAGCAAGAATTCCTCTGTTGCGACTCTTTTCAACAAATATTTACGAGGCATCTTTCATGAGCCAGCCCTGAAACTGATTTGGGTCTGGAAGTCCTAGAGAGCTGCCCAAGGTACCTGCCTTCCTATCTTGCCTGCCCTTCTGGCCTTCACATTGTCACTCCTTCTCTTTCTTCCTACTGTCCTTACTAGTTTCCCAGCTCTCCTCCTGTTGGGGTGTCCCCGTCGTCTTCCTCTCTTCCCACCAAGGCCCTCTCTGTTTCCTCAGAGAGGAACAGAGACACTGGCGATGCAAAATAGGTCAAAGTTTGTGCCTGCAGGAAGTTTACTGTCAACAAGGAGAGATAGACAAGGGAATCGACAGCCACGAGCCCACAGGAAAAGTGCTCGCTGAGCCAGCTGCCTTTGCTACCTTTGCTGCCTCTGTGATTCGGGAGCAGAAGGGAGCTCTGGGATCAGGGAAGACTTCCGGGGTGAGGTCAGCATTGAGTGGAATTGGAAGAATGTTAACATGAGCTCCACAAGGCAGTGGGAATTGCTTGAAGGAAGGCTTGAGGTGTGAAGCAGTGTGACTCGAGTTTTCCAGGAATCAGGTCCTTGCTACTGAAGAGAGGCATTCAGAGGGGAGCCCAGGGGCTCTAGGACTGAGCTGAGTGTGATTTGGGTCTGGAAGTCCTAGGGAGCTGCTGAAGGTACCTGCCTTCCTCTCTTGCCTGCCCTTCTGGCCTTCACATTGTCACTCCTTCTCTTTCTTCCTACTGTCCTTACTAGTTTCCCAGCTCTCCTCCTGTTCGGGTATCCCCATCGTCTTCCTCTCTTCCCACCAAGACCCTCTCTATTTCCTCAGCCCTTGCATCCTCTGCTGACACCCTACCCTCCCAAGCCTTCCTTCCTTTCTCCCTCTGTTCAATACGAGTCTCAAAATGAAACCTTCAGGCCAGGCATGGTGGCTCACACCTGTAATCCCAGCACTTTGGGAGGCCAAGGCAGGCAGACTTGAGGTCAGAAGTTTAAGTCAGAAGTTAAGGCCAGAAGTTTTAAGACCAGCCTGGCCAGCATGGCGAAACCCCGTCTGTACTGAAAAAACAAAAATTAGCCGGGTGTGGCGGTGTGCACTTGTAATCCCGGCTACTTGGGAGGCTGAGGCAGGAGAATCACATGAACCTGGGAGGCGGAGGTTGCAGTGGGCAGAGATCTCGCCATTGCACTCCAGCCTGGGTGACGGAGCAAGATTCTGTCTCAAAAAAAAAAAATAATAATGATAATAAAAAAAACCTTCAGCCCACCATTGGTACAGCATGATGCTTGATACAGTGTGAAGGTTTGCAGGGTACAAATTGTCCACACATGCAAATGCAAATGACCAGTAGCCTAGTTAGAACGTCCCTTTCAGGCCAGGCGCGGTGGCTCAAGCCTGTAATCCCAGCACTTTGGGAGGCCGAGACGGGCGGATCACAAGGTCAGGAGATCGAGACCATCCTGGCTAACCCGGTGAAACCCCGTCTCTACTAAAAATACAAAAAACTAGCCGGGCGAGGTGGCGGGCGCCTGTAGTCCCAGCTACTCCGGAGGCTGAGGCAGGAGAATGGCGTGAACCCGGGAGGCGGAGCTTGCAGTGAGCTGAGATCCGGCCACTGCACTCCAGCCTGGGTGACAGAGCGAGACTCCGTCTCAAAAAAAAAAAAAAAAGAACG